AATTAAATTATTAAAAACTAGAGCGAGTAGTATAAAGCCAAGTCAAATATAATATTTTAAAGAATAAAAAATCTAAGAAAATTGAGATGAATTTTTGGAGATCAGCCGACCCCAATACATTATTATATATAATTTATAGATATACTAGAAAAAGACAAAGCCAAAGTATGGTTCAATCAGCCCCTTTTTCCTTTGGGATGTCGAAAACTACAGGGTCGTTTTTGTAAAGTTGTGGGCATAGAGCTGTCTTGGAGGGCTACTTGTTCCAACCTTTGCATAATTGTATCATATGGAAATTTTACAATGGGCTGTTTAGAGGTAGTTTAAATGACTAATTTTAAAGGATTTTGTAATAAAATTGGTCAGGTTTGTTTAAACTTTGGTTTTTTTTATTGGTTTTTATGGTAATTTTTTAGACCCAAAAAAGATTATTTAGGTTGATTGAAGAAGTTGATTTTATAAATTTTTCTTTCGACTTTTTAAAATTTTGTCGCGGGTTCGACATAATTTTTTAATTTATTATATTCATAAAATATTATTAATGATGTAAAAAAAATTAAATTTATATTTTGAGAACTATTTTGCATAATTTATACATACATGTAATTTTTTCTTTTTTGACACAAAAAAATTAAAAAGTCACTCTAAACAAACTTTTCTAAATTTTTTAAACTTTTTAAAGAACACCTTAAACGGTTTTGGAGAACCATTTTGCAAAATTTTTTTAAATCGTAATTTTTCACTTAAAAAAATCAACTCCAAAAAACCCCAATATTTTTTTGTCACATGTCATGGGCTTTGGTAGAAGCTTGTAAACATTAAAACTAAAATCAACCTCAATTTCTCGACAAAATTTTTTACAAATGAAATTTTAAAAAAATTTAATAGTCAATCCTAAAATAATCATTTTCTCAAATAAAAATCTCTTAACCGACCATAAAATCAAGTTTTAGAAGTTCGAATTTTTAAATAAATAAGACGAGCACGAATTTGACTGGACTAGGCCCAATGAAAACAATCCGAGAAAACTCGAAGGAAAGTCCAAATCAAAACTGGATCAACCCATTGGAAAGGAAGACATCAAGAGGTCAACACTTAAAGCCCCAAGGCCAATGCCCAAGAGACTTGGCAGCCCTTGGGCGTCTCCCTCTTTGCTCCTCTTCACCTTAGAACTTCAATCCAAGTCCAAGTTACACCAACTCAAGACAAGTCCAGGCTCAAGACGAGGATCAAGTCCAATCCAGCTGAGAGTCCTCCTCCAAAAGAATAGAAGCACGAGGGAGTAAACATCGAGATAGACGCAGAGATCTCCTACCATAACTATACCTACCAAAGTAGTAGAAGTCCACTCACCCACGTTGCTGCCTTACCCTAACTATATAATGTAAGCCCTCTCAACATTGAGAACATGCCTCTGAAACCTCTACGCACCCCCTACACTCATTGCTTTCTCTCTATCTCCCAAAAAACACTATATCTCTCCAGAGTTATCATTCATCAATAAAGAACACAAGTCATCGTTGTCCTTCCCGAAAGTGGAGTAGGTCATTCGAGACCGAACCACTATAAATACTTGTGTTGATCCATTATTTACTGTTTTTATCCATTGATTGTCGTTGATTGCTCATTAATCACACCTGTTAATATCTTTGACTGTTGATCTTACACAAGACAATTTTGTGCATCATCAGTTTGGCGCCGTCTGTGGGAACGACTAGTTTTTCTACTCTCTTTTAATCCATGGCAATCACGACCAAGTCGAGATCTCAGCAACCGGGAGACAACAACCCAGTTCACCGGGAGGAGGCTGTGCCTCCCACTGCATCTGTGGAACCTTCCGCTATTACCACTCCCACTGCTGGACAGCAGCAACAACTCCTTCAGACCATTCAGCTGCTGGTGACCCAGAACCAGCAAATCATCCCAACTCATGCTCTCCCAAGGAGGCATTGCCCCTCCCCTCTCAAGAGGAGTCTCACTCCCCCCACCGGGAGAACAACAATCGCATATCCCTCCTGGGCGCCAGACAACCCCCCACAACGGGGTTCCTCGACAGAACACTCTGGGACCATACCATGGCACTCCTCATCTAGCACCACCTCAGTGCACAGGGAGTTCTCAAGTGCCCTCCCCTCATGAACCTAGGCAGGAGGACGAAAATCCAGAATGTCAATATAGAGACCATGAAAGCAGGTACCACCACCGGACTGAGGGGTATCCCCAATTAGTGAGACAAGAAGATTAGAGAGGTACAAAATCAACTCAGTGATGCCCTCAACGCCATCAAAGCACAGATGCCTGAAACCGTGGACTACTTGGTAAGGCGCACCAATGCCCCTTTCATAGCTGATATCCTTAACTGCCATCTACCCTTAAGGTTCAAGATGCCTACTATCGAAATCTTCGATGGCACCAAGGACCCCCTAGACCATCTAGATACCTACAAATCCCTCATGCAGGTCCAGAATGTGCCTGATGAGATAATGTGTAAAGTCTTCCCTACCACCTTGAAAGGGTCTACTCGCTAGTGGTTCTCCAAGCTCAGGCCCTCCTCCATCCGCTCCTTTGTCGAGCTCAACAGGTCCTTTGTCTCCCACTTCATTGGGAGACGCCAATATCAGAGACCAGTGACCCATCTACTCACCATCAAGCAGGACAGGGATGAAAGCCTGAGAGACTACCTCACCCGCTTCAACAAGGAGGCTCTCCAGATTGAGGAGCCAGATGATAAGGTATCTCTTGCCACTTTTATCGCCGACCTCCGCACCTCCAGTTTCATGTTCTCTGTCTTCAAGAAGCCACCCTCCAGCATGCCCGAGCTGTTGTCAAGGGCACATAAATAGTTGAATGCTGAGGACGTCACCAAGGCCTGTCGAGGTGAGTCCTCCCAAAGAGGGGAGAAGAGAAAAGACACCCGCGAAGACAAGTGGGAGGCGGAGAAAGAGAATCGAAAGAGTTTTTGTCAAGGACCGTCTAGGTCCGTACCCCCCGAGAGACCAACAACCTTTCACGCCACTCAATGCCTTGGTGGAGCACATCCTATTCCAAATATAGGATGACCCCACGCTTCGTTGGCCTAAAAAAATGAAGTCCGCCCCAAATCGTAGAAATCACAGCAGGTACTGTCACTTCCATTGCGACCATGGCCACGACACATATGACTGTTATGAGCTCAAGAGACAGATAGAGGAGCTCATACAGCGTGATCAGTTGAGGCAATATGTTGCTGGCAGAGGTTAAGCCCCGCCACCTAGTCAGGACCAGAACGACAGAGAACGCGAACAACTCCTCGGAGAAATTCAGACAATCTCTTGAGGGCTACAACTCCGCCAAGGAAATATCGGCCCACCAATAGGACACGCCTGAAGATTTTATTTATCTTTTACAATTTCAGTTTATTTATTTATGTTATTCATTATTTTATAAAATAAAATTTTGCAAGATTATGGTTTTCATAATTGTCTTTGTTTTCATCTCAAATAGCCTACGACCTATCAACAACAAGGTGGACAAAAAGTCAAAAGGCATCTAGACGAGGTGTCTCGCCCTCTCCATCTTGGGTGCCTCCCATGATGTCGCGTAGAGGAAGGCTCTCGTTCTCTCCACCTTAGGTGCCCCCATGATGGCCTCGCCTTCTCCACCTTGGCGCCTCCTTCAATGTCGCCTAGATGATGGGTCTCGCCCCCTACCACTAGAAGGCCTAGACGATGGGTTTTACCCCCTCTCACCAGGCGGGCCCAGATGATGGGTCTCACCCCCTCTCACCAGGCGCCCAGATGAGGGGTCTCACCCTCTCCAACTTGGGCGCTCCTCTTGATGCCACCTTAACGAAGGGTCTCGCCCTCTCTACCTTGGGCGCCCCCATGATGGGTCTCGCCTCCTCTCACCAGGCACCTAGCTTCAGGCGCCCAACACCAGGCATCAGGCGTCCAACTCCTCAGAGCCCTTCTCATCTTCATCTCAATGGAATGAGCCTCAGACGCCCAGCTCCTTATAGCCCTCCTCATCTTCATCTCAATGGAATAAGAGAGCCCTCCTCATCTCCATCTCAATGGAATGAGTCTCCGCCACGACAGCCCTTTTTTGAGCTATACGTAGCTCTACCTTTGCTCCCGAGCGGCCTCAACCTCCAGCTTAGCGTCTCTTTTGTAAGCCAACCCTCAACTGCTCCGCGGCATTATCTCGTGTCTATCGCCCGAGCCCTATTGCTCTGTAGCATTCTCTCATGCCTATCACCCGAGCCCTACTTGTTCTTCAACAGCCCTCATGGCTGCCTTTCTGATATCCTAGGGGCCACAGACCTCCAAAGCCCCTCGTTGACCAAAGTTAAGTCAAAGCAGGACAGCTATGTGGAGCTACAGTCCTCATAGAAAGACCGCATAGGTGTCTCAACTCCTATAGCAGTACAAAGGCTAACACAGAAGTCCAAGTCTGGAAAATAGTGGGGGCATCATCGGGACCCATCTCCCAGGAAGCAACCTAGCAATTGGACCTTGATCGAGAAGTACTGGAGGCATCAAACCTCATCCTTTTAAGAAGAAGGGAAAACACCACTCTAAAAGCAAAGAGAGTCTCCACCATCGCCCTATCAACAAAAGCACCCGAAATCAAAGACAAGGTCAAGAACCAGTATAACCAAAGGGTATCACAGTCTCCCTCTCTGGTAAAAACCCAAAATGTCAATTCGTCCCCCATGAATGCCTGACAACTACCGGCTAGAACACAACTCTCCACCATCGTCAGTTTCACTAAATTTTGCTTAAAACTCAAATTCAGAGAGAAATAAGCATTTTTTTTTTAGAAATTTGGTGACCAAACTGCCTTTGGCCATTTGTATGTCGTAGATCTCGAAAAAATACCCAGATTCAAAAAAACATTTGCCTCAAACAGATAATCGAGCGCAAAGTTATGGCTGTTCAAAGTTTTATCGATTTTCTTTATAATTTTATGATGCTCCACCTAGCCTGGGTGCCGCCCACATACTTTAGTCCAAGCCCTGCCTAGCTTGGGCGCCGCCCACTTGCACCAGGCAGTCTCGCCCAGTGCACTTCTTTTCCTCTATGCCCAGGCCACCTTGGTGTCCTCACCCAAACCATTGCCCTAGGGCGTCGCCCAAAGCATTGCTCCAAGTCATCACTGTTTGCCATACCCGCGCCATGGACGCCTTTCTTAGCACCTTGGGCGTCGCCTATGAGGCCAACGCCAAGGTCTCCTCCTTGGTCAGCTACTCCATGGCTTGAGTCCCTAACACCATCAACAGAAGACAAAGCCCCATGGGCGCCGTCCCCTCTTTTCTCCCACACGGGAATCGCCTGCCTCAACACCTTGGGCGCCACCCAGTTCTCCCTTTTTCCTAATGGCGCCACCCACTGACTTAGCCCGCTGGACATGGAAGCCTTAGTCTTCCTCGACGCCTGCCTTACCCACCTTGGTTCTAGCCCCACCTAGCATGTACAGGGAGATGCCCAACCATGGAACTATCAGAAGAAGAGAAAAACTCCTAGGATACAGGAGCAAGACGCTGTGGAAGCTAGCACCGTGGCAAGCAAAAAAAATTCCTGCTCACTCAGAGGAAGACGAAGCACATGCCCTCAATCCCTTCCTCCCTATAAAAGTCAGAGGCTTGGGGCATGGGAGGCAAATGACGAGCACAAATTTGACTGGGCTAGGCCCAATGAAAACAATTCGAGAAAGCTCAAAGGAAAGTCCAAATTGAAACTGGATCGACCCATTGGAAAGGAAGACATTAAGAGGTCAACACCTAAAGTCCCAAGGCCAACGCCCAAGAGACTTGGCAGCCCTTGGGCGCCTCCCTCTTTGTTCCTCTTCACCTTAGAACTCCAATCCAAGTCCAAGTCACACCAACTCAAGAAAGGTCCAGGCTCAAGACGAGGATCAAGTCCAATCCAACTGAGAGTCCTCCTCCGAAAGAATAGGAGCACGAGGGACTAAACATCGAGATAGACGCAGAGATCTCCTACCATAACTACACTTATCAAAGTAGTAGAAGTCCACTCACCCACGTCACTGTCTTACCCTAACTATATAATGTAAGTCCTCTCAACATTGAGGGCACGCCTCTGAAACCTCTACACACCCCCTACACTCATTGCTTTCTCTCTGTCTCCCTAAAAGTACTATATCTCTCCGGAGTACTATCATTCATCAATAAAGAATATAGGCCACCACTGCCATTCCCGAAAGTGGAGTAGGTCATCCGAGACCGAACTACTATAAATACTTGTGTTGATCCATTATTTACTGTTTTTATCCATTGATTGCTCATGAATCACACCTGTTAATATCATTGACTGTTAATCTTGCACAACACAATTTTGTGCATCATCAAAATCAATCAAGGACAAAATGAGAGACAAATATATATGATTTAGAGTTATTTCGAGTTATGTTTCATTCCTTCATCATTCAGATAGGGTATAGTAAAATTAAAAGTTTTATAAACTGGAATCTATTAGAGCTAAACGAAGCATACTCAAGCCGATCAACACAACGTTTGGATTCAACTAGGTCACACACCCAACTTAAAAATTTGATCTAATTCAATTTATTTTATAATTTGAATGAATTTGGATAAACCAAAATCGATTTGAAACTTAAATTGGAATCAATTAGAGCTAAATGAAGCATAATCAAGTCGATCAACACAATATTTTGGATTCCACTAATTTACAAAACCAACTTAAAAATTTGATTTAATTCACTTTATCTCATAATTTGAACGAACCTAAATAATCCAAAATCGATTCAAACCAGAGTTGGATTCACGTGACAACACTACCTCTAAAGAGAATACTTTTGGATGGTACTATCCTTTAGGCTTAACAGAAAATGAACATAAGAAAGTGACTACATTCACGCTCACATTTAATTGCAGACCCCATAACCAACCAACTTTAATTCCCCCACTAAATATGTACAAACATTGAACTCACTTCCTATTAATTTTTATCATGAGGTCACTACTTCTATACTGGTACAACCATAAACGTGTTAGAATAAATGTCATTTAAACTCGAGTGTACGTCCACATCCCTAAAAAAAATAGAAAAAAAAACCCCAAAATTAATAGATTTTGAACTAAACCAAATTCACATCCTTATTAGAAAATCTTGAAATTGAGAGTATTTAAATTCCCTCAATACACATGTTTTTAGTATAGAGTATAGTAAAATGTTAATACATCTTCGTTACGATAAACACGAATGTTAATAGTAGTGATCAATCCAACGATATCACATCAGATCTTACCCATTATGTATAGAGAAGTGATTACTCAAATAAATCATGAAAGTTTCGTTTGGTACGATGAGAAAGTGGGAGAATGAAAAGTTTTAGGGATAAATAAAACATCATGTTTGGTAAGAAAAGAAAGAATGAAGAATAAAAAAGTTGATGAATTAACTTTTTTTTAACTCACAAAAATCAATCTCTCCAAAATCAGAAGAAAAATAAATAAAAATTAATTATTTGTGTTGAGATGTATCTTATTTGTCTATATATCTTATGCATACATTAATTTCATATAAAAATACAATGGTAAAATATGTTTATATATTTTAAAAATTAAAATTAAAATTTTAAATGAAAAAAAATATTTTTTCCATCTTAACTAAGGGTGAAAATTTTCGACTCAACACGATAACACGATTCAAACTCGATACGAAAATAAACAGGTCAACTCTCAACTCGACACGACATAATTAGTTAAATGAGTTAAGTTACGTTTGACTAACATTCGACATAAACTCGTAATGACTCAACACAAATCTGATTCGATACGACTCAACTCGATTATCACCTCTAATCTTAGCCAAGCACAAAAAAAAAAAAATTTATTTTTATTTTTCATCCATCCAACCAACCACAAAGGAAGAAAAATATATTTTTCCTACTTTTCATCTTTGAAGATAGAAAGTGTATTTCTCCTACTTTCGATCGTTCTTACTTTTTATCTTCCCTACCACACGGAGCAAAAAAAAACATAAGAGATTACCGGAGGAGGGGCACGATTGCACGCCTTAACTTTAAATGATACTTGATTTATTAGTTTCGTATTACATCTTTGTACACAACAAATACTTTCATATTAGATTGTTTAGTTGCAGTATTAAGGGGTATGTGTATTGAGGAGTTAAAATAAATTAAAACTCTCTAATCGGGTAAATACTTTATTTGGTAAATAAATTTGATTCCGTTTTAATTTTAAAAATATATATTAATCGTATATTTTTGATACCATAGATGTATATTATGGAAGTATTTTAATATCATCAAGAGGGATGATATTATAATTCAACTTAAATGTATTATTGTAAACATTTATTATTATAACTCCTCAGCTGTTAAAACCAAGCTTTTATCAATATAGTTAATTCCGACTGAGGGTATTTTTGTTAATTCAGCATTAATACGATGAAATAATTTATCAACCAAACAACAATTAGACTAAATAACTATTATCAACGTTTATGTTATATATTACCAAACACTAGATAAAATTAGATATTATTTTAATACCCTATTTAATTTTGTCTTTGGTTCATTTGTATTGTATTAAATTAACTGTTATATTTATTTCTAATACGATAATCAAACGAGCTCATTATTTTTATCAAAGTAATATGTATAGTTGGATTGGTCACTACCATTAACTGTTTTAATATGACTTGCCAATATAATTATTGGATAAATTAATTTAGATAAATTGTTTGGTATGTACATTTGGTGTAAATCATCTGGTATCCAATAATCACAACGAATTCCCGACTAATTTACATTCGAGTCGGGCAGGACCATAAGGGCAGCATAGCTCTCTCTGCTGAATATTTAAACGAAGTTGCATTTAAATACTCGATAGGGAGAGTTTGCCGCCCCTGTTGGCTATGTACATGTTACTGTTCATATAAATGTGTATACCTCCCTCTCTCTCTCTCTCTCTCTCTCTCTCTCTCTCTCTTCCATGTGATGACAGAGACCGACTTCTTATCATGTTCTCACTCACCATGTTTTCTGGGTAGTCCCTCAAAATAAGGTCATTAGCTGGGTCAAGAACCTTCCTTTGCCTTTTCGTATCAGGCATATTCCCTTCAATAACACCGGCTGAAAAAAGACAAATTTTGGGTCCCACAAGTGGCACTCATCTTATCATTTCATGTAATTTTTCCATGCATACATTAATGACAATTATTATATATATATATATATACATATCAACTTTTTGGATTATCTAAACATAAATTTTTCTAATTTTACTTTAGATTGGCAACCCTTTAAAACATGCAGTCATTCATTAATTACAAGAATCGATTAAATTTGAAACAGGTCAACTAACAATCTAGAAAATAGGGATCAATTAGTCATTATTTAGTGTTGGGTTTCCCTCCTTTGTGGGACTCATCAATTTGCTAATTTTTTGGTGACTTACCCGTGTAGGACTCTTATACAAGACTTGGTTTGGAGTCTTCAAGTTAAAAGGAATTTGGCAGCCACCAAAAGACTATAAGTTTTGTCTTTTTCTTTAGTTCTTCTATTCTCTGTTGGTTTGGCAAGAAGACATATTTTTCGGCAATCTTTGGTTCAACAAAAATTCAGCCTTCTTCTTCTCCTTTTTGGTGCCAGAAAAATCTGCAAATTTGTTCTTCAAGTGGGTAATATTTCTTCACTTGATATTTGGGTTTCTTGCGGTTTGTTCTTGGAGATTTGGTTCACTTATTTTGTGAGGTATTTTCCTCTTGTGATTTACACCTTGGTGTGTTTGTAAGGCTTATGCCTTTTGGCCACTTTGTAATCTGATTTGGTGATAGTGGAAGAAACTGACCTACCGGTCGTCGTGGATGTACCTCAAGTTATTTGAGGGAACCACGTAAATCTTGTTTGCTTATTTATTTTCTGTTATTTTATTTATATTGCTTCCATTGATTTACACTTGTGGGAAAACCTATTTTCCCAACATCTGGTATCAGAGCAATTGGTTAATTCGGTTCCGATTCGTTATATTTCTGTGTGTGAATTATGGACGGCAACGTTGGACGTATGGTTAGTTTCAATGGCACAAATTGGGTGACTTGGAAAACTAAAATGGAAGATCTTTTATTTTGTAAAGATTTGAATGGACCCATAGAGGGTGATAGTGGCAAACCGGAAGGGATGAAAGATGATGAGTGGAAAAAGCTAGACCGAAAAGCTGTCGGTTTTATTCGGCAATGGATTGATGATAGTGTCTTTCATCATGTCTCTACAGAAAAATCTGCACATGGTCTTTGGACCAAATTGGAGAGTTTGTATGATAGAAAGACAGCAGTGAATAAAGCTTTTTTATTTCGAAAGCTTGTGAACTCTAAATATAAGGAGGGTACTTCTATTGCAGAGCATTTGAATGAGATTAAGAGCATTGTGAATCAGTTGGCCGCCATGAAAATTACTTTTGATGATGAGTTGCAAGCTTTGTTACTTCTTAGTTCACTTCCCGAAAGCTGGGAAACTTTGGTGGTCACAGTTAGTAACTCCGCACCAGATGGAGTGGTAACAATGAGTCAAGTTACCAGCAGTTTGTTGAATGAAGAAACAAGAAGAAAATCATCAGGTTCTTCTTACTCCGAGGCACTTGTAATGGAAAACCGGGGGAGAGGCAGGAGTAAGAGTAGGGTTCCGCACAACCGTGATAAATCTAGAGGTCGTTCAAGCTCGATGTCAAAAAAGGATGTTGAATGCTATTATTGTCACAAGAAAGGGCACATGAAGCGGGAATGTAGAAAACTCAAGTTCAAGGAGCAGAACAAAGAGAAAAATTCAGAGAAAAAGCAAATTGATACAGCTGTAGTTACCGATGATGAACTCATGATTATCCGTGATGATGCTAGCGTTAATTTGATTGGCCAAGAGACGGATTGGGTAATTGATTCTGGAGCTTCATTTCATGTTACTTCGCGGGCTGATTTCTTTACTTCTTACTCACAAGGTGATTTTGGGAATGTCCGTATGGGAAATGAAGATGTGTCAAAAATTGTCGGCATGGGTGACATTTGCTTGGAAACAAATATTGGATGCAAATTGCTGCTTAGAGATGTGAGGCATGTACCAGATATTCGACTCAATTTAATCTCTGTTGGAAAGTTAGATGATGAAGGCTACATCAACAATTTCAGTAATGGAAAATGGAAGCTCTCCAAAGGTTCTCTAGTGGTAGCAAAAGGAAAGAAGACTTGTTCTCTTTACACTATACAAGCAAAAATCTGCAAGGGTGTTGTGAATACCTTAGAGAATGACTCATCCACTGATTTATGGCATAGAAGGCTTGGACATATGAGTGAAAAAGAATTGCAAGTTTTGTCCAAGAAAGAGCTTCTAGTGGGGATAAAAGGCACGCCTTTGAAAACTTGTGTTCATTGTTTCCATGGTAAACAAAACAGAATATCATTCCGTAGAAACATTGCATCTAGAAAATCTCATGCTTTAGATTTGGTACATTCTGATGTATGTGGTCCTTTGAAAGTTAGGACACTTGGTGGTGCTCTATACTTTGTCACTTTTATTGATGATCACTCTAGAAAAGTTTGGGCTTATACACTGAAAACTAAAGATCAAGTTCTAGATGTGTTTAAGATTTTTCAGGCCAAGGTTGAAAGAGAAACAGGTAGACAGTTGAAATGTGTTCGCTCGGATAATGGTGGTGAATATATTGGACCATTTGATCAGTATTGCACAAATCATGGTATCAGGCATGAAAAGACAGTTAAAAAGACACCTCAACAGAACAGGGTTGCAGAGAGAATGAATCGCACCATTCTTGAGAGAGTCAGATGTTTGCTCTCACATTCTAAATTGCCAAGATCCTTTTGGGGTGAGGCAATGAGGACCGCAATTGATCTTATCAATTTGTCTCCTTTAGTTCCGTTGAATGGTGATATGCCAGAGAAAGTTTGGACAGGGAAGGAAGTCTCCTATGATCACTTGAGGGTATTCGGCTGCAGAGCTTTTGTTCATATTCCAAAAGATGAAAGGTCCAAGCTTGATCCAAAAGCAAAGCAATGCATATTTCTTGGCTATGGGCATGAAGAATTTGGATACAGGTTGTATGATACAGTTGACAAGAAAGTTGTCAGAAGCCGAGATGTTGTTTTCTTGGAAGATCAGACTATTGAAGACATCGACAAGCTTGAGTCAGCTGAGTCTAGTACTGATGATCTTGTTGATTTAGATCCTCTCAATCCCTCTGCTGTTCATGATATTGATGAGGAAGTGCAAACACCTCATGATGATGCAGCAGAAGATGATGTTGAGCCAGAGATTGAGGGGGAGCAACCACCCCAAGAGCCACTACCACAGACACCGTTAAGGAGATCTACTAGAGAAAAACAGTCATCCAGAAAATATTTTTCAAATGAGTATGTGATGATATCAGATCAGGGGGAGCCAGGGACTTATCAAGAAGTCTTGAAGCATGAGAACAAAACTGAATGGTTCAAGGCAATGAAAGAGGAAATGAAGTCTTTGCATGAGAATCACACCTATGATTTGGTGAAGCCGCCTAAAGGAAAAAAAATTTTGAAAAATAAATGGGTCTTCAGACGAAAGAATGATGGGAACAGTTCTCAACCGAGATTCAAGGCACGACTTGTCGTGAAAGGTTTTGATCAGAGAAAGGGAGTTGATTTTGATGAGATCTTCTCACCAGTTGTGAAGATGTCCTCCATTCGAACTGTGCTTGGTATAGCTGCGAGTATGAATTTAGAGGTTGAGCAGCTTGATGTGAAGACCGCATTTTTGCATGGTGACTTAGAAGAGGAAATTTATATGGAGCAACCTGAGGGCTTCAAAGATAAGGGTAATGATCAGTTAGTTTGCAAATTGAAGAAGAACTTGTATGGATTGAAGCAAGCACCGAGGCAGTGGTACAGAAAATTCGATGCTTTCATAAGTGAGAATGGGTATTCAAGAACCACTTCAGACCATTGTGTGTTTGTGAAGAAATATAAAGATGATAATTTTATTATTCTCTTGCTTTACGTTGATGATATGCTTATTGTGGGCCAAGACACGAGTAAGATTAGCAAGTTGAAGTCAGAGTTGAGTAAGTCCTTTGCCATGAAGGATTTGGGTCCAGCAAAGCAAATTCTTGGGATGAGAATTGTTCGTGACAGATCACATGGGCTGATTTGGTTATCTCAAGAGAATTATATTAAAAAGGTTCTTGAGAGGTTCAATATGGACAAAGCAAAGCCTGTTAATTGTCCACTTGCAGGCCACTTCAAACTAAGCTCAAGTCAGTGTCCTACAAGTGATGAAAAGAGAAATGAGATGCAGAAAATTCCCTATGCTTCAGCAGTTGGTTTTTTGATGTACGCCATGGTTTGTACTCGACCGGATATTGCTCACGCAGTTGGGGTTGTCAGTCGATTTTTGTCTAATCCAGGGAAAGAACACTGGGCAGCAGTGAAATGGATTATGAGGTATCTTCAGGGCACTTCAAAGATGAGTTTGTGTTTTGGTAAAGGCGAGCCTATTCTTGATGGGTTCACAGATTCTGATATGACTGGTGATGTTGATAGTCGAAAATCTACTTCTGGTTATTTGATTACTTTTGCAGGGGGAGCAGTGGCATGGCAATCAAGATTACAGAAATGTGTTGCTCTCTCCACCACAGAAGCTGAGTTCATCGCCATCACTGAAGCTTGCAAAGAATTATTGTGGTTGAAGGAATTCTTACAAGAGTTGGGTTTGAAACAAGAAAGGTATGTCCTTCATTGTGATAGTCAGAGTGCAATCCACTTGAGCAAGAATTCTTCATTTCATTCGAGATCGAAACATATTGATGTTAGATATCATTGGATTCGTGATGTCTTGAATGATAAGTTGTTACAACTTGAAAAAATTCACACTGATGATAACACTTCGGATATGTTAACTAAGGCATTGACTAAGGACAAGCATGAGAAGTGTCGACTTTTGGCGGGAATGGTCGAATCCTCCACATAAGTCGGGAGGGGGAGAATTGTTGGGTTTCCCTCCTTTGTGGGACTCATCAATTTGCTAATTTTTTGGTGACTTACCCGTGTAGGACTCTTATACAAGACTTGGTTT